TTTTAAGATGGGAGAAATTAACAGGCTTCAAGATGAACCTGAAGGAGTAAGTGGATAGGGAGGCAAAAAAAAAAAAAAAAAAGGATGGAAAGGATGGATTCCCATCTTGGCTTCCAGGACCAAGATTTAGGCCATGCGAGGGACTGTAACATTAGAAAAGAGAAATGAAACCTCCTTTTCACTAGCTGGAAGGACAAGAGGACAGATTTGGAGAGGGAACTCTATGAAGGTCAAGTTAAGGATAAAATGGAAAAGTGGGTTTAAAACTACTCTATAAAGAATGATGTGCTGGTAAACCTCCTTTCTGGAAATTCCTCATAGATTTTCATATACTCCGCATTACTAAATGCCACTAACTTGGAGTGTGACACTGGGCCAAGTCACTTGGCTCTCTGAGCTTTTGTTTCTTTATCTGCAACATCAGAGAGGCATGGGGTGACAGGGTAATGTTTTCTAAAGGCCTCTTCCTACCCTAATGTTTTGGAGTTTATTTATGCATTTTTCCCTTCTGATTGTTCCACGCCATCCTCTATATCTTTTCTTTGCATTTACAGCTGCAAACCACTTCTCTACTTATTTTGAATACTTCCTTAACACATTATGCATACAGACGGTGTTCAACAAATGTTTTCTGAATTAATCTAATTCCCACAATGTCAGAGTTTCAGGACAAATGTGTGCTTCATCACCTCTCCCTCTCTCCCAAAAGCTATCTAAAGAAGCACAGTCACCCAGTGCTGCTGGAGTCCTTTCTTGGATAATTCAGCCGTGATAAAAACACTTATCTGAAGCCAAAGCACAAATACAATTGAATGTCAAATAATTCAGTGCCCTAAGTGTTTTAGATCTTGCCCTTCCTGCCAATGTGTACATGCTAATTTCTAAGTTAAAATAAAATAAGTCTGATGATGTAAGCCTGTGTGGGCTTTGCATCAGTTCCTTGGGAAAATACCATAGTGCATATCTATCTAAAGCTCCTTGTAGCTTCATTATGAAGGGAGCAAAAAGTGCAGATTTCCACTGCTCACTCCATCTTTTCATTTGTACTCTGTGACATTCCTACAACTGAGAAAACTGACTTGGTATCCTTTTGCTATAAACCTAAAACATACTTGAACAGTAGATACAGAAGCCTTTCTCTCCTGGAAAGAACACTATTAGCCTAAGATTTGAATTTTAGTTGTCGTTCTGCACTGCTGAGTACTGACTTCATACCATTAACCTTCCTGGACCTCTACAAACTAGGGCTAAATATTCCCATCAAACCTCCTATGCAGTGTTGTACACCGGCATCTATACTGCATAATTATCACTATTCATCGATGAGTATATTTAAAGATGATTCTTGTCATTGTGGAACAAGAGGTATGAACACTGAGAAGAAATCTAATGAAATACTTCATTCTGCAAAGGAAGACAAGAGGAAGACCGTAAGTATTCCTATCAGGATCATTTTTACAGCCAGGACTAAATTTTAAGTCTCAATCTATGGGTAAATACAAAACTACATGACATAGTACACCCCAAGGGTAACTCAACTGTGCTTACACAAATGAAAGAAAGACAAAATACTCAAAAAAAAAAAAACACCTTGACCAAGGTCATTTTATACCATGGTTTTCTTAAAGTCAGAGGAATATCTTCTATAACATTCTGTATGATTGCTTGAAAAAAAAAAGAGGACCATAACTAAAAAGATGCATGTTTTTAAATAACCAAATGACAGTTTGTTGTTACATTGGTAAGTTAATAAAATCTTTAGAATAAAATAAAACAAAACATACATTCCAAATCATGGATATGTTTGGATATGACAGTGAACGAGTCCATTACGAGCTGACAGCTTATTTTATGATAGGATTCTTCTCTCATAAGTGTACCAGCATATCCAGAGTTTACACAAACATATTTTCAATCTCTCTCAAAGATAAACGGACCCAAGTGGGCAGGTTTCCAGCAGATGGGGGAGCCACTGAATCAAAGATGATCATTCATCCACATAACTATTTGGAATGTGAGCCAACAAGCAGCAGCAAATGGAATAGAGATGCCAGAGAGACGGGTACAAGTGAACCAGTGACAAAACCTCTTTGCAAATGAGGAATTAATTTACAGCAGCATACATAACTCACAGACACAGCCCATTAAAGATTTCACCTCTACTTCCCTTAACAGTGATCTCAGACTCTTCTAAAAAAAAAAAAAAAAGAAAGAAAAGAAAAGAAAAGAAAAAAAGCTTTCTGTGGACAGTGGTCAAAAAGATGCCTCAATGTGCTGGGGTGCTGAATACAAACCCAATAGACAGTGATCTGCTCAAGATAATTCAGATGTTCTAATCAGAACACATGAAATGTCCAGTCAAATTCACAATTACAGTGTCTTAATGACTGTTTTTCTTTTGCTATGCAAAACAGCTTCATCCATCACTATCAAGAAGTCTTCCATCTATAACTGTTTTACCAAGATGTAGATTCCCAATACTCCTTGGACTATTTGCTTTAAAAAAAAAAAGAAGAAGAAATAACTCACATTGACAAGCTTGCACATGACAGAGAAATAAATGCCCTCAGAAAAAAAAAAAAGAAATGACTTTAATGTAGGAGCCATACCACAGTCTCCCCATTATTAACCCCATCAACATCTCTGAACCACCAACATTCTCAGGTTAAGAGGGAAAAAAAGGGAGGACGGGGAAGGGAAGGATGTAGGGTATAGATGGAGAAGCCGGTAAAGCATTTGATAATTTCCATATGAAAATTGGAAAATCGTGAGGAAAGGCATGTTTTCCTTTTAGATGTTAATGCAATACCAAAAAAACAAAAAAATCCCCCCTGCTCCACTGTGCCACCTCCTTCAAGGTCATTTATCATCAGCACAACCACCTACGGATGTTTTATTAAAAAGAAAAATCCCAGCCTGGGACTGCCAGATCCCTACCCAGGACCCACTTATCAAAGGTGTTGCTCTAGCTGACAGGCAGCTGCTGAGTGGCACAGAGTTAACATCACTTTATATGTGCAGAACCCCATCAGCCAGCACGTTCCCTCGGTGCCCATTAAGCATTCTGATAACACCACCTCCATGAGCTCGGCTTAACAGTTAAGCCCGCAGGAAGCCCTTGAGTGCATGAAGGCTACCAAAATTTCCCAGCTAATTTTAACCCCATACAGTTTGATACAAATTGATCGAAAAATTATGCAGCAACTATATTTGTCCACCTGAATAAAGAGTCCTTAGTTTTCAGAAAAATCTAATAGGGTTTAAATTACTTTAAAAAAAAAAAAAAACCTTATAAACCATTTTCTATGAAAAAGACAACTGTATTACCAGCAGGCTTAATATACACCGTGACCAAGGTATTAGTGAAGAGGCTCTTCCAAGCCCGGTCTTGGGCCAACACTACTTCAAAAAGCATATGCAATGGTGCATAACATGCAGCTATTCGGTTGGATTACTATTAGGTTGCCATCTGATGCGGATCCTGGATTTTTTTCCTTCCCAAAGCTTTCTCCCAGTCCGTTTAATGCACAAATGACTGCCTTCCCCGACTCCAAAAAAAAAAAAGAGGAGGAAGAAGAGCAAAAGAGAAAAGACGGTCGTTTACAACGTTCCTGTGCAAATTCGCTGTTTTCATATGTTTAGTACCCAAATACATCAAGACTATTTTCACACCTGAAAGTTAATTTTCCAAAATTCCACCATCTCTACGAGTTTCTGTGATTATAGGTAACTGTAACTGGGAATTGTGTGTGTGTGTGTGTGTGTGTGTGTGTGTGTGTGTGTGTGTGTGTGTTTGTTTTGTTTTGTTTCTTGTACTGCTGAGGAAAGAAGTACCATCAGAAGCTGCAGTTCTAGGTTGGGGAAGTCTGGGGAATCCTGCAAGGGAACATCCTTCAGGAAGGAGGACAGAAGTGGAAAAGGAACGACTGAAAGGATGCTAACTAGGTTATTCTTAGGAGGAAGTTAGGGCATTTTCTCTTCTGGAGAGGCTCTCCAGTCCCAGCTTGGAGGCGAGCAATGCCTCAGCCTGGGAAGTATCTGCAGTGTTTGAACAAATCAGAGAAAGGAAGGAGCAGTGCCAAGAGGTACTTAAGAAGAAAGAACGGTATTAGTGTGGAGCCAAGCTTTCCCTGCCTGCCACCCAGTGTGGGGCAGCCACCCTGCCCTTACACTTACACACACACACACAGTTTGCTGCACTTGGCATGCAATAAGCCAGCATTTAGAGAACGACACGTTCACGATGTTCTCCCCGCCACCACCACCCGCGCGCGCGCACACACACACTCGCTCCCCATGCCTTCCGCGCTTTGCAAGCGGTCACAGCACCACCATGGATGGCACCAGCCCCGGGAACCGCGGGGACCACGGAGGCGACTCCTCCTCCGCTTTCGCAGCACCTTCACTTGGGGGAAACCTCCGGGCAGCGTCCTGCACCATCACCCCCGCCCCCGGCCAGCTGCGCTGCACGCTACACGGAGTAAGCGAACCGACGTCTTCGCTCCGTGACAACGCGCGGGTCCAGCCCGAAAGCCCAAGAAACCCCCCGGCGGCGGTACTCCCAGAAACGACCCGAGTCCCCGCCGCTCCCCGTGCCCCCACGGGCCACCCTGCTCTGCACCCTGCCCCCGGCCGCCCGGGAGGTCCCAGCCCTGCCACCAGGCAGGCCGGACTGGCCGTCCCCTCCTTCCCCGGATCCCGCAGCTCCGAGGCTCCTGTCCCCGTTGCCCCGGGTCCGAGCCCGGGCGCCTCCCGCCGGCTCGCCGCGCTCCATCCTCTAGCTTTCCACACGCGCGCACAGACACGCGCCCTTGCCTTCCCGCGCCCCAACACGCACACCTGCACACACTTTGGTGATGCCCGCTCCTCCCGCATCCCCAGGGGGCACCCCTCGCCCCGCCCTCGAGTCCCCGCTGCCCGCTGTCACTCTGCCCGGACCCCGCTAGTGGATGCCCTGGCGCCCCCTTCCCCTGGGAGCACAAGCGACGCACGGCGCTTACAGTTCGCAGGAACTGGATCTCGTCTTCGCCCTCGCCCCCATCGGCCATGGTTCCGCGCCTCCTGGCCGGGGCCGGCTCCCGAGCCCCGCGGAGCCCGGCGGCGGCGGCGGCGGCGGCCCCTGGCGCTGCCGGCTGCTTCTGCTGTCGGGAGCCGGGGGCGGGAGGGGGCCGCGCTGCCGAGTGCCGAGCGCCCGGCTGTCCCCGCCTGCAGAGCGGAGGAGGAGGCGCAGACGCTTGGGCGGGGGTGGTCGAGGCGCGGGGCCTCCCCGCGCCGCACTGTGCGGGAGGAGGGCGGCCCGGGCCCGGAGGACGCGGTGAAGCAGCCCCGCAGCCCAGCCGCGCTCGCTGCCTGCAGCCGGCGGTCCGCTCGGTCCCGGCTCCTCCGAGCGAGTGCGCCGAGCCAGCTGAGCCGGGGTTAGTGCTGCGGTGGGGGTGGGGTGTGGGGGCGGGCGGGGAGGAGCTCGCCGGCTCCCCGCTGCTGCAGGTAATCCGCAGCCCGCTCCTCCGGGCCGCCAAACCCGAGGCCCAGCGCCACTTACTGGCTGCGCTGGGTATTGGGGCCGCAGGGCAGCCGGCGAGCGCACAGCCTGCTACTTGCGCCCCGCTGGGGTCCCTGGGCTCATTCCCCTGCCCCTTCCCAGGTTAAAAGCTCTGGCACTACGCCTCTTCCTCCTGGACTACGCTAGAGCGCTACTACCACAGCACTTCGGATCGCACGGAATGATATCTTTCACCTGGGCGCACGGGGTGGCTAATCTCCTAGTAGCGATTACCCAACACCTGGTATTTTAAACGTGGATTACCTCTATTCATGATCAACATGGGAATTCTTCAATATCTAGTTTTAGTGTACCATGCTTTTCGCAGATAATCGATGCAAAGTGCACGGTTTTGGTGCACAGAACGTTAACATTCAACAAATATATAGTGAGCGCCTATGCCAGACAATGTCGTACAAGACAGACCCAGGAGTTTATGGTCTATATTCGAAGTGCAAGCCTTAATTCAACAAGGAATTGCGGTAAAGTATGGGATAATATCTGTAAGTCTGAACCACTGGATGGGTCGAAAGTCAGACTATGCTACCCATTATCCTTGCTGAGAGACGAAATTCAGGCATTCCACCGCAGGTAGCAATATCCTGCCCTCGCAATCCTCCATGCAATAGTCTACCAAATGCCTACTTAACTACTTAAACGGCTATGACTAAGAAAATACAGAGTCTGAGACGATTTGCAGAAGAAAGCATTTGTCTCTCGTTCCTAGTCCACAGTGCCTTCATTTATCATACTTAAGTATGTGCAAAGTAAAGTTTTCAAATGTCAGTACTACAGAGATGCAGACATTGTAAAACAAGGATTTTTGCGTCCATTTACCTACGTCTCACATTCTGTGGCATCTATCTCATTATTAAAATCGACCAGTGAGTTCTATGCAGTTTGTATTTTATTTTTAGCATTGGGTTAGGTTTTGTAAATTTCCAGGAGAATGACAATATATGTATAAATACTCTCTCCGTGGTGGAACTAGTAATGTTCTGCCCTATCTTATGGAAGTATACTAGTCACCTTACCTAAAAACTTGACCTATCCTTGTAGCCATGACGACTAACCAACTCTTAAACCATTATTATTTATGTGAATGTTTACTCTTACGAGTCTCTAAACGAACAACCAGTGAGCTCCCAAAAAGTCGGGTAAAAGTCCTCCATGAGCAATGACTATATTCTGAAATTGGCTCATGATTTAATGTTAAACGATTTGATCTTCCAAATTTAGAATATATCAAATTGACGTTTTAAAGTACTTTATTCAGAACTATGCAGAGACGGGTTTCTTAATTACTCCATTCTACCCAGATGGTAGGTAAAATAATATAAAAACTCTTACCACGTCTTCATTTTGGCATTTTAACAAGGCTGTAAACTTTTCTAGCAAGAGTTATGGTTATTATTTCTTTAGTTCTCTCAATGTAAGTGGAATAATGCTAAATGGCCTAGACACTCGATGATTCTTATTCACCCTACACAGTCTTCAGCAGCAAGTAGACATAGAGCAGAGGCTATTTATAAAACGTACCGTTTACGTGGACTTTAAAACACAAAAATACAAAATTATGAGGTTTATAGATCTCCAGCCTGTTCTAAAAGTATAGAAATATGTTTGAGAATGATATAAAACATTTATTTTCAAAAAGAAAACCAAAGCAAATATAACAAGTGTTTTAATATTGGTGATGGGCATAGTGGTGGAATATTATTTTTGGTACTCTGATATTCTGTTATATTTCATAATTATATAACGAAGTAATTTTTACAAGAAAGCAACCTCAGTGAAAGCTATGGAAACTTTTTACTTATAGCTTTTTTAAAAAAACAAAATTTAATCCTTTTGGATGATTTAGTTATAATTCCCTAGTTTCTTCTTCTGGTGGACAGTTGTAGTAAGAAAATTTGTTTTCCAGTGCAGAGATCATAGGATACTAACTAACCTCAATTTTAAGTGTACTTGAGAGAAAATACATATACTTTGGATACAGCTTAAAGTTTAGGTTTACTGTATTTAATTCTTATTGTAGACTCAGACTAACAGAAATTAACAAGTAAACCTTTTTCTAGGCACAAAACTATAGTTCATTAAATAGAAAAAAAAATTTACCATTTTCATTAGAATGTAATATTTGATATCTATATATTTTATAATTTGTATTAAAATATTTATTGGCTGCGCATCATGGCTCACACTTGTTATCCCAGTGCTTTGAGAGGCCAAAATGGGATGATTGCTTGAGGCCAGGAGTTCAAAGTAAGCCTGGGCAATGGAGACCTCATCTCTACAAAAAAAAAAAAAAAAAAAATTACTAGCGAGGCGTGGTGGCATAAACCCATAGTCCTAGCTACTTGGGAGGCTGAGATAGGAGGATTACTTGAGCCCAGGAGTTAGAGGCTACAGTGAGCTATGATCAAGGCACTACCCTCCAGCCTGAGTAACAGCAAGATTTGTCTCAAAAAAAATAAATTCTCATTTTCTCAATTCATGTTATGTATAATAGTTTATTTTGCTTTTTATTGTCTTAATATTTTTTAATTATAATATAATATTTATATTCAATGGATAACACTCCATTTTAAATCTTTATTAATCATAAAATTAATAATAAAAGGTTTAGAGGATGACATTTCTATGTTTCTTAGTCCACATTTGGGAAGGATTCTTCTTTATGATTAATTTCATATTCTGCAAGAGAGGGAAAAATTATATTTTTAATTTTTAATTAAGAGTTTTTCTGCAGTCATCTAATTAAGAATGGGCCATCGTAGCCCACTTATTCACTTGGCAGGATGCTAGACAGCCTTAAAGAAGAAAAAAATTAGGACAAATGTTAGATTTTTCATTTTGGCTTACAATTGACTAAACTCCCCAATGATGTACGTGAGCTTAAAAAATTAACTTCTTCCTCAAGGTTTCTACAGAAACTCAGCTAAAATACTCAATGTTATCATTTTAATTCAGCTTCTTTCAGTTAAGATCACATACATTAAAGGCTTTATTACTGACTTGAAAGCCTCTGGAATTGTCATCAGATCATTATAAAATTAGGATTAGAGAGCCTCTAACATCCTGAGATTTAGCCCATTTCTTGTTAACTCAGGTTTCCTGTTTCAAAATCTCTAAGGAACATTTCATACCTATATTCTTATCCCACTTCAGAACTCAATAAACCAACATTTTACAAAACTTCCATTTTATTTACATCTTTATTGCGTATGTTCTAAAATACTATAATTCTTATGAGCACCTGTCCTAGAAATAAATCCCTGGGGAATTCACCACAAGCCAGTCCTCAGGTCACATGGCCTGAATCTCTGGGTCTGCATTAATGCAAGATGGCCAAAAATTACATAACGAATGATGACGATGGTGATGAAACTTCATTTATTGAACATTGACTATGCTCCAAGCACTTTCATTTTATTTTTTCTTTTCATCTTCGCAGCAATGTCATTTTTGAAAAAAAGAAATGAAGGCTTAAAGAAGTTAAGTAGCTTGGCCAAGATTATGCAGCTGCTGAGTGATGACACAGGGGTCTGAGGACTTATGCTCCTCCCCTACCTCCGTCCCAAAGCGGAAAGCACAAAAAAGAGTCTAGACTAGCATGAACTATAAAAGGCTCTGGCAGCCCGAGGAGATCTGTCCCTGGTTTCAGGCCAAAGCAGGTCCTGCTAGCTCTTGGAATACCAAGTAAGTTCTGGAAAGAGACAGGGATTACTATGTGTTCAGAAATAAAATCCAATTTGTGCCTTTCTCCACAGTTTGGATTCTTAGGGGAAATCAGTTTTTCAAGACTCGAGGGTTATTCACCACTATCGTATTAGTTCCTTTACAAATTATGAAGCCCCAAACTACAATTAGTATTCCAATTTTCAGGGTCAGGACTGAAAGACATGCAGGTAGAAAGAGTACACATGATCTACCTCTTGGTATCAGGGGAGCCCTAGACATCACAGCGAAGGGTGACCCCACCTGACGAAAAGTCTGCTTGTCACTGTAGTCCCCTCTTATCCACAGCTTTGCTTTCTGCAGTTCCAGTTACTCAAAGTTCCAAAATATAAAATGGAAAATTCCAGAAATAAACAATTCCTACATTTTTAATTGTGTGCCCGTCTGAGTAGCGTGATGAAACATGAATCATCCCTTTGTCCAGCGTATCCACTCTTCTGGACTCCCCACAGTAGCTGTTTCAATGATCAAATCAACTATCCTCGTATCATGCTGCCTGTGTTCAAGTATACCTTATTTTACTTCATAATGACCCCAAAGTGCATGACTAGTGATGCTGGCGTATTGTGATTATTGTTCTATTTTATTACTAGTTATCATTGTTCATCTCTTACTGTGCCTCTTATAAACTAAACTTAAACCTAGGTTTGTATGTGTAGGGTGAAAACACAGTATACATAGGGTTCAGTCCTATCCATGGTTTTGAGCATCCCCTGAGGTCTTGGAATGTATCCCCTACAGATTAGGAGGTAGGGGTTCCTAAGGAAATGTGGGTTCCCCAGCCACATTCCCAACTCAAATTGCCTAGTGGCTTCCCAAGTAGGTTATTCTGACTGGCACGTGTCCCTGAAGGCAGATCTTCCTCCTGATTTGCCTGTTTCTGTTGTACTACATACA